CTCTGTTTCACTGCCTTCCTTTTCAGAGGGGCAATGGTATAAGTGTATTACGCAGGAAGGCTGCAGTACTATCAACAAGATTATCGATTTGTGTTGGAGTAAAGTTAAGGTGGCCTCCTTCCACTGTGTTGGCAAACGGCACTGAAGTAGATAAAGATGGAATTATTTCCTTAAACTTGGTAACAGCATTGCCAGATGGACATCTGCTGTAGTGGAATTGTTTCCCACATAGAGTATAATCCATTAATGGAAATTCAAAAGTTATTAGAAAATGGTCAGACAGAAGAGGGTTATGGGGAAAAACTATTAAGTGTTCAGTTTTGATGCCATATGTCAGAACCAGATCAAGAGTGTGATTAAAACAGTGAGTGGGTTTATTTAGTTTGAGAGAAGCCAACTGAGTCTAATAATGAACAGAATGCATTGTTGAGGCTGTCATTGTCGGCATCTACATGAATATTAAAGTCGCCTACTATGATTATTTTATCTGTACTAAGCACTAAATCAGACAGAAAGTCTGAGAATTCACTTAAAAACTCTGAATAAGGAGCAGGTGGACGGTATACAATAACAAACAGAACAGGCTTTTGAGTTTTCCAGTTTGGGTGTGAGAGACTCAGGGTGAGACTTTCAAATGAGTTATAACTATGTTTAGGTCTAGGGTTGGTTAATAGGCTTGAGTCAAAGATTGCTGCCACACCACCATCTCGGCCTGTGTTTTGAGGGATGTGACAGTTACTGTGCCTAGGTGGAGTGGATTCATTTAGGCTGACATATTCTTCCTGCTGTAACCATGTTTCAGTAAGACACAATAAGTCAATGTGATGTTCACTTATCAAATCATTCACTAACAGAGATTTAGATGAGAGAGATCTGATATTTAATAGTCCACATTTGATTGTCCTATTACTTTCTACTATAAGAGGAGTCATCTTAATTTTAATTAGGTTCTTATGAATAACTCCTCTGGAGTTGATTCTTGATTTATATAATTTAGGTGGTTGGGGGCAGACACAGTCTCTATGGGGTACTGGGAGTGTTGGGTGGGTAGCAGCTGCAAGGAGACAGCAGAGAGGCGTGTAAGACTCTGGACTCAACTCTGGGTTGTCATAATTTAGGATGTAAAATAAACTCGTCCAGATTTCTAGATAAGAGAGCCGCACCACCCAAAGTGGGATGGATGCCATCTCTGCTAATCAGACCAGGTTTTCACCAAAATGTTTTCCAGTTATCTATGAAGCCCACAATGATCCTTATGACAGCAGTTTATTGATGGATGTAGTTGATGACTGAACCACTGAGCTGCCTATGTGAGTTAAACTGAAAGACTTTCCCTCCACAGGATGATGCTGAGACACCCCCTCCTCATTCTGGGAAATCAGAATGCCCTAACTTACATCAGCCTGCAAACTCATTATGAGTCAGCGGGGGAGGGGGTTTCCTGGCCGTAGTGTGGGCTGAAAAATCACACGGAGAAAGTCCATTGACAGTTTTGTTTTTTTATATTCATTTACAGATTATAACTGGGATGCCTGTTTGTAGTGATGTCAAATGTATGGAGCAGGTTTGTTTTAACAGCATGTGGTTGTATGATGACTTATGACGCCATTATCTATCACCACACAGGAGGAAGTACATTCATTGTAAACTGACATCTTGATATGGGTTCAAATCTAAGCTCTGTTTGCTCTTCGTGGAAAACCAACAGCGACTTTCATCTTAACAGCAACAGTAACGTTATATAAAAAAGACGAGTTAGCCTATGTACTTTCACGTGAAAGGCTAGCGTTGTGGGCAACATTTAGCTGTTTTTTGGATTTAAATAACCAGAACGCACACATTAACTTAGCATGTGATTCGCTATAACAGGTGGGGAAGAGGGGTTATTCCTTCATCATCATACAGCCTCTAGCAAAAATAAAACGCGCAGATATTGCTCCGCTTTTTGACTCTCTACCAAAAACACGGAGTTAACTGTGTTACATAGGTTTAATAGTCTCCAAAACACCATGTGATACAACAGACATTCCCACTTACGGGTTTTCTTGTTTTGTGGTAGGATAAAATTCCGCTGGAATGATACAGGGTGATGACAAGATGCATCAGTCGTTTCCAAAACCGAGGGTTTAAGAGCGACAACCCGGAAATGGAACGCCGTTAATCGACGCCAGAAAGAGCCAATCGGATTGTAGTGTTTAGCTAAAGGTGACCAATGGTGTTCGAGTGGAGTCGGTGTGTTGTTGACGTAAACTGAAGGTGAGATTTCACAATTACATGCCTCCATCCTGCTCCTCCTTCAGGATTATAATAGAGTCAGTGCCACCAGCTGTCATTGTTCTCTGCCATTCAGTCATACAGGCCATGGATTAAAGAGAGAGAGAGAGATATGCAAATAGACACAAAAGCACCACTGACGAAAAAGTTGCGAAACAACCCCAAGGAAGTGCAAAACGGTAAGATTAAACATAAAGGCAGAAATATGCCAAATGACTACACTCAAAATTACAACAAATGAGTGAAACATGCAAAACGACTGACTACACTCAAAATTACAACAAATGAAACATGCAAAACGATCACAACGACACGCAAAATAAAAAGAATGATGGTAAACACGACCACGAAAAATGAACACAAAGTGACACAATGACTAGAGAGTGTTAAGATGACCCTTATTCTCCACTTTGAATCTAACTCCCCAGAAACATCCAAATGCATCTGCATTGTATACAGTCACATCTTAACAAAAGTGTTTTAAATCGCCACAAAATACCTAAAATATGACGCAAACTGCAAGACGGAGGCCACGATCATTCTTTCCAAATTACATGAACCACTATCTGTGCCCACACAATCAATGGCCCACACACACATTCACACAGAGGGACACAAACACCACTCCACCCCTCTGAGGCTTGTGCGTAATACGGTTTGGCACACGGGCGCACATACAAAACAAAAGCACATTGTCGGTGTCATTGGCAGAAAGTCTGTAAACCAAGAGTGGGAGGAGTGAACAGTCGTTTCCTTTGCTCTCCAAACAGCGAGTGGACTTTCTTGGTCGCTGCTAAAACTTGAATAGATCCGCAAGCAGCAGAGATGGGATTATTCATCACTGTCCTCCTGCACTGGGTGGTGGTTTAAAGTATAGTGCATACTCTGCTTTTCTCATGAAGGAATCAATTGCTTCATGTCAGTGTAAAGTTTGCAGGTGATGCTCTGATGGTTATTGTTTCATACCACAAAAAAATTGCGAACAATAACATCCTCTGGAATAAAGAACCGTGAGCCTCTAGGTAAGAACCTATTTGGGCTTTATCCCAGTTTCGTGCTATAACGCAAATAGTGCTAATTTTAAACAGTTTTAAAGTCGTCTTTTTTGTAAATCTCCCACGTTGTTTTCAACTGACTTTTTGAATTTGTTTTCAGGAAAATGATAGACATATGTAGTGGTGTTTAATGCTGGATGCATTGCCTCATTAGCCTATATATTGAGTAGGCACCAATTGCATGCTTGCGATACTTTTTTAAAGGAAAGTGACATAAAATACTTCAGTCCAACTGAATGTCTTTTAGCCTATATGCGTCATGATAAGATATTTGTCTACTTTGGACTGACCGCATTAATGTTCATGTTTGCAGTGGCTATGCCGTGCGTCCAGACCCAGTGCGGCTCCTCTCCACAAGGAGCCAGCCCGGCCTCCCAGAGCTCCAGCAGAGAGCGCAGCTGCGACTTCCTCACTCCAGAGTTTGTAAAGTTCAGCATGGACCTTACCAACAGTGAAATCTCAGCTGCAACATCTGGCCCCAGTTTTGGCCCTTTGGTGGACACTTATGGCTCCGGGTACGAAGTGAAGCCCCCGTGTCTCTTTCAGTTGCCAGTGCAGGGGGAGCTTCCGTGCATTAAGGTGGAAGATGCGCAAGGGTGTCCGCGTTATCAGCCGAATCAGCATCACCCACACCAGTCCGAAGAGCTGCTTTCCTCGCCGGGCTCCGTTTATTATTACCGGTCTCCATCACCGCACGTCCCCATTACATCCAGCTTCCAAACTCCTCCGGGACACATATGGGAGGACTCCGGTTCTCTGTACAGTTTTCGTCAAGACTATTTGGCGGCAGCGCACAGGAAGAACACACTATCCAGATTCTCATTTTTTTCTCTTAAACACGCGCAACACGGCGGACAGAGCTTGTGCACCTCTCAGATGAAGTTTGACGGATCTCTCCATGTGTCCATGAACCTGGACGCAAGCGGAGCGCACCAGTCTCTGGACAGCCCCGGGGGTTTGGGTTCCACTAGTCTCGGTAAGCAGCCCGGTGTGGGATTTCCTCACTCGTTCCAGCTCCCTCACTTCATGGACTACCAGACTTCTGCTCCCAGCCGAGGACCGCTGAGCACGGAGGGGCTGTGCGCGGTGTGCGGAGATAATGCAGCCTGTCAGCACTATGGAGTGCGCACCTGCGAAGGCTGCAAGGGTTTCTTCAAGGTTTGTTCTCAAGACCACTTTATTTTAAAGCTGCATGAAAACTACTATTTTAACTAGGAGCTGATGGGCAAACGATGCGGACACCAAAAAGCTGAAATGGATTCATACAATTGAAATGCAGCAAAATGATGTAGCCTAAAAGAAAACATGGAAAATACTGTAAATGTATTCTTTTATTAATAGTAAAAATCTGAAAACTTTTGAACATGGACATACCCACGTTTTCATGACCCCACTGTCGCGCACTGAAGCCCTAATTTACAGTAATAGGTTATAACATAAAAACCCTAATGGGACCAAGTATTGGCTCCGAAATTGAACATTATACTTCAGACGCACGTTTCCATCTCTTGACACACGCGTCTTAGGGGCAAATGTCCTGTATGAAAATGGACACCAACGTGCCAGGAATATAAACCTTCCCCTTCTCTCTCTGAGGGAGATTCCCGGGGCAATTCTCCAAATTATGAATGACCACGACCCTGTATTTACCCAGACTGCCCTGTCCGCCTGCTGAATGCCTTATAATGCCTCAGAGGGCCCACAGGAGCAAGAGTGCTGCTGTTAATTTTCAAAGGACCATTTAAGGCTGTTCTAGAAACTACCTGGGAAAGAGATTATTTATGTCGAATCACTTTTAAAGAACAATTCAAACTAGGTTTTCAAAGACACCAACTGTCCATAAAGGTCAATGTTACTGCTCTTCTCAGTTGTTCTGGTTGTTTTGTGTAATATACGCCAGTTGAAGGACCCAATTTTGTTGCAAGGAACCCTTCCAAAAAGGTTTACCATGGCATAAGATCTGATAGGTGTATACTGTACTGTTGGAGAACAGGTGTTCACCAAGGTTCAGCTGAGACAAACGTTCTTGGCAGTATACTCAGATGGCTCTGTGTGTAGTTTTATTGTTCTTGTGGTGGCATTTAGAACACATTACCTATTAATTATTAAAACCCAACGTTACATTTAAACAGACATGATGAGACAATGGGAATGAAGAGCTCAACTAAAACTGCTGTGATCCAAATGAAACCTTACCATCTCAGTTGAATGCCCCACAATAAGGGATTCTATTTTTTAACTTTGTATGCTCAAAAACACTCATATCTTTGCTTCTCTCCATGCAGCGCACAGTGCAAAAAAATGCCAAATATGTATGTTTGGCTGCAAAAAGTTGCCCTGTGGACAAGCGTAGGAGGAACCGATGCCAATATTGTCGCTTCCAGAAGTGCCTTGCAGTGGGAATGGTCAAAGAAGGTAAACCGTTATACCTTTAAGCCATGTTTCATAGCTGATAAATGAGACATTATCATCATGTAATGGAGAAATCTTCACTAAAGTCAAAACAAAATCTGAGAAGCAACTCCTGTTTTGCTCCATACTCTGCAGTGGTGAGGACAGACAGCCTGAAAGGTCGAAGAGGTCGTCTGCCATCCAAACCTAAAGCTCTTCCTGACTCTTCTTCACCTGTTAGCACCCTTCTGAGCGCCCTCATCAGGGCACATGTGGAATCAAACCCTCCACCCTCTCGCCTTGACTACTCCAAAGTAGGCAGCGTTGGCACTCTTGCTCAAGAAATACTCCACTATTAACCTAAACACAAAATACAGCTGTAATTGATCATATTTCCCATCATTCCTACCTGACCCCACTGGTGACCTGTAGTTCAAGGAGAATCCTGGCAGTCCACTAGGAGACGATGCAAAGCATGTCCGGCAGTTTTACGACCTCCTGACCAGATCGATGGAGGTGATTCGAGGTTGGGCGCAGAAGATCCCGGGCTTTACCACCCTGCTCAAACATGACCAAGACCTCCTCTTCTATTCTGCTTTCCTGGAGCTCTTTGTTTTACGGCTGTCGTACAGGTAAAGAACAAACCTTTCATCGGATGCTGACTTCTGAAATTTAATTTCTCTCAGCAAAAAATCTGACAAGCACTTAAGCTAGTAGTCAGTCCACAGAACATACTGTAAATTACATCAACAAAAGGTTGTTAATGAATCAGACAACAAAACTCAGGGATGGATTTAAACTTCTGGCACTTTTGGCACAAATGAAATGTGGATAAACTGCTGAAGAGAAATTTATTGACAGAGGACACTGCATGTTGTCATAAGATCTAAAATTAATTTCTGTGTCCAGTAACAGGTGCAAAGCCACTGGACAAGGTTTCTGCACCAATATTCTGTGTTACAGTGCAACCAAGCAGTTCATATTCACCTTAGCCTTTCAGCTTTGTAGGCTACCTTTAGCACTGGCTCTGATTCTCTTTCAGATCCAACCCAGAAGAAGGAAAGATGATCTTCTGTGATGGGTCAGTGTGGCATCGACTCCAGTGCCTGCGGGGCTTTGGGGAATGGATTGACAGCATTGTTGAATTCTCTGGCAATCTGCAGAGGATGAATCTGGACATCTCCACCTTCTCATGCATATGCACCCTCACCCTGGTCACTGGTGAGATGCTCAAAAACACTTTGCATTTTGCTCATTCTTCACGCTGCACAATTTCTGTCTACACCATACTGAAAATCATCCCCCAGTTAATGCTGCATTCAGCCTGGGCAATTTACCACAGTTTTGATTAGGAACTGACTGATATATTAACAGCATGGATCAAATAAAGCAGCCTCAACTCACATATCTTTAGCTGTACAGTATAGAAGAAATCTAATTATTATACAGAAAGATGCAGCTTTAAGTGAAACTAAATAGCATTCATGGATGTGAGCCACATGATTTTTAGGGTCCAGAAATCATGCAGGAGTGATTTAACTCCCAACCAGGGGCTCTTGGATCTCAGGGAGCACTTTAGCAGCTGTGAAGCGGTATGTGAAAACAGTGCAGAATAAGTCACCTATACTAAAAAAATAGAACTAATGTTTTGTTTAGAAAAAATATCCACACAGGGAGTGAGCTTTCACACCTGAACACTACTCAGTTGTAGTGCATATGCTAGCCTTTAATAAGTTTCGTGTTAAATTGCTTGGGGTTAGTCTATAATTATTATTAATTAGATTATTGAACTCATTTGGATAGTTAAGTAATATGAAGTTACTTGAGAATTTTGTTTTATTCTGTTCATACCAGAGAGGATTGCCAAAAACTCTGTTTAAAGTTCTCTTTTGGAGTTATTTCTTTGATTTAGTAGCAGCCGTAGGCCCTTTTCCTTTGTAGTTTGCCTCATTCATTTTCTTGTAAACTGTGAACAGTCCCTTAGGCAATAAATAAATTGCTTTGCCAAAATCCATCTGGTTTTTATGTCCCTTTTTAAAGCCCCTAGCAGAGCTAGGTTGTAACATAAAAATGGATAAATGGTTGAAACAGCTAAAAGTAGTGGAAATTTTGAAACACTTAGCTAAGAATAATAATACATGGTTGACATATTTAATCAAATATAATGGACAAATAACTACTTAAACTACTAGTAGTTTACTTAAACTACTAAAAATAACTACTTAATGCTGTTATCAGGTGTCACGGCCTTAACTGTCTCAGATTTCCGTGTATGCCATGTAGGTTGTGTAGTTCCTAATATATGATTGGCCCTGATGCTAAGATCCCGCCTACCTTGAGAAAATTGATTGATGGGGTGCATAGTCCATTTCACTGCCTACCTGCTAGACATAGGCATGCATATATACACAACATCATACTCATGTGTGTATAATCACAAAATAAATAACTTGCTATACCAAATTAGTCTGGTTTTAAACTTAGACAATTTACTGCCTAGCAGAATTGGGCTGTAACAGTTGGCTAAGAGTAATGGTGTTGTGTTCTTTAGGCCTACAGTGGGGAAAGGAATTATTTGATCCCCTGCTGATTTTGTAGATTTGCCCACTTACAAAGGAATGAAGAGTCTATAATTTTTATCATAGGTTTATTCTAAAGGATAGAGACAGAATAGCAACAAAAAATTCCAAAAAAGCGCATGATACAAATGTTATAAATTGTGTTTCATTTCAGTGAGTAAAATAAGTATTTGATCCCCCACCAACCAACAATAAGTCTGGCTCCCACAGACTGGGTATGTGCTCATGTAGTGCCCAAATTAGTCCTGTCAATTTAAGGAGATGCTCCTAATGACAATTCGTTATGTGTAAAAAAGACACATGTCCACAGAGTTTCTCTGTCTTCCATTCAAACCTCACCACCATGGGCAAGACCAAAGAGCTGTCAAAGGAAATCAGGTACCAGATTGTAGACCTGCACAAGGCTGGAATGGGCTACAAGACCATCAGCAAGAAGCTTGGTGAGAAGAAGACAACTGTTGGAGTGGCTATTCACAAATGGAAGAAATACAAACTAACCATCAGTGGCCCTCGGTCTGGAGCTCTATGCAAGATTGTGCCTCATGAGGCAAGAATGATCATGAGAAAAGTGAGGGATCAGCCCAGAACTACACGGGAGGAGCTTGTGAATGATCTGAAGGCAGTTGGGACCACAGACATCAAACAAACCATTGGTAAAACAGTACGCCACCATGGATTGAAATCCTGCAGCACCCACTTAGGTTTGGATGGCAGTCCCACTTCTCAAGAAGCCACATCTACAGGCCCATCTGAAGTTTGCCAATGAACATGTAAGTGATTCAGAGAAAGATTGGGAGAAAGTGCTGTGGTCAGATGAGACCAAAATTGAGCTCTTTTGCATCAACTTGACTCGTTGTGTTTGGAGGAAGAAAAATACTGAGTATGACCCTAAGAACACCATCCCTACAGTCAAACACAGAGGTGGGAACATTATGCTTTGGGGCTATTTCTCTGCTAAAGGTACAGGCCGACTTTGCTGCATTGAGAGGCCAATGGACGGGGCTATGTATTGTAAAATCTTGGATGAGAACCTCCTTCCCTCAGCCAGGACACTGAAGATGGGTTGTGGATGGCTCTTCCAGCATGACAGTGACCCAAAACATACCGCCAAGGCAACGATGGCATGGCTCAAAAAGAAGCACATTAAGGTCATGGAGTGGCCTAGCCAGTCTCCAGACCTTAGAAAATCTATGGAAGGAGCTGACACTTCAAGTTACCAAGCAACAGTCAGGAAACTTTAAGGATTTAGAGAAGATTAGTAAAGAAGAGTGGACTAAAGTCCCTCCTGAGATATGCACAAACCTGGTGACCAGCTACAAGAAGCATTTTACCTCTTTGCATGCCAACAAGGGTTTCTCCACCAAGTAATAAGTCATGTTTTGCTTGGGGATCAAATACTTATTTTACTGAATGAAATGCAACTCAGTTTACATTTGTATCATGTGCTTTTTGGGATTTTTTTGTTGATATTCTGTCTCCATCCTTTAGAATAAACCTATGATAAAAATTATAGACTCTTCATTTCTTTGTAAGTGGGCAAATCTACAAAATCAGCAGGGGATCAAATAATTCCTTTCCCCACTGTACCTGATAGAAAACGTTTTGTGTCCAACTAATTTTGTTCTTATTTCGCAATAAAAAGCCTTTAAATGTCTTACAGAAGTTGGTAGAAATGAGACTGCCTTTATCTTTAAACAGCAACTTGATATTTTTCTACAAGTCTGTAGAAAAGATTTTAACGTGTCAAATTCATATGTTTTTGCATTATATTATTTTTCATAATTTATTAACTGGTTGAACTCTGACAAATGGGCTTACAGAGCGGCACGGGCTGAAGGAGCCGAAGAAGGTGGAGGAGCTGCAGAACAGGGTCATAAAATGCTTGAAGGACGGTGGGATGTGCGCCGATACAGCCTCAGCCTTGTGGTCCAACCACTTGTCCAGACTGCTGGGAAAGTTGCCTGAACTTCGCACTCTGTGCATCCAAGGCCTGCAAAGGATTTTCTATTTGAAGCTGGAGGATTTGGTGCCGCCGCCTGCCATTATAGACAAGTTATTCCTCGACACGTTGCCATTTTAGAAACATAAGAGAACACACACGGGGACGTTTTCTGTGTTTTTCTCAGTGATGGCACTGTTGGACTGCTTTTGCTTTAATCCCAACATCCATTCCCGACAGGCTGAGCTCTGTGCGCACGTCTTAAAATCTGCTGAGCCAGTAAATCATATTTCCTAAGAACAAGTGAACGATTTCTGATGAAATGTATTTTAAGAACTCTGTTCACTTTATTTTCTTCATGATATCAAAGGATGTGTTTGGGATATTTTAAGCTGAGACAGAAGCATAAGGATGGCGACACGTCTCCCACAAAATTACCAAATTACTTGCAGTTTGAAAAAAAAAACATTCGTTCCTTTTTGATTTTATTGTTTAAATGTGATCGGGACAAAACAATGGACTGAATAAAAGTGTTTGCCAGGTAAGGAGCCGTATTTACGCCTGGTTCTCAGCTTGTACAGACGCATTCTGATATGAGTAAAGTGCGTCGCTTCACGTTTTCATAACGTCATATAGATTAATATGATAATAGGTATTTAGTGGAGTCCATGTTGTGTTCCCTGTCATCGTCTATGCTTTAATAAATAAATGACCGTCACTGCTGCTGGACTGCTGGACCTTCATTAACGTCTCATGTGGCGCAGAAAAACAAAATGAAACACATTCTAAATGGGCAGTGTTTTTTTATATTTCTTTATTTTATTGATTTTTGAAAGAGAGAAATTCAGGAAACTACTTTAGGAGACTACTTCACTGTCTCCAATGATATTTGCTATGTTTCATTTTAATAATATTTATTCTTTAACGTAAAATGTCTCTTTAATGTGTTACAGTCATGTTAAATGTTGGTAACTTGGCATGGAGGTTGAACAAAATTTAGCAGAATCTTCAAATACAGTATGTATGTGTGACAAGATCAACGATCACTGTAAACCCTCTAGAGAGGTAATTGTCATTAAAACAGCACATTTCCTACTTCATTTTGCAAGACATGAACATAGGAGGGAAGAGTAGGTGTGCTTTAAGGCTGCTGGCTGCCTGGCATCTGTGATGTCCTTTGGTTAGATCTGACATTAAAGATAAAGGCCCTGAATTCAGCACCTGCAAGGGGAAATAAATGATGATCATAGTCCTCATCTAAACCCTTAAAAACAACAGCCTACACATATAAACTAAATAAATGTTAAATTACCATCTACTCAAGGGAAGAGATGAAATCATTAAAAATCATCCAAAAAAAGAGATGAAATCATTAAAAATCATCCATCTGATCTGGACTCAGCCTTCACCTTGTCTGCAACACGGTGACATGTCTCTCTTCTATCTGGAGGAGAGAATTGATTTTAGGGCTTGAGAAAGGTTCTTATACTGTATAACAAAATTGAATTATGGTCCAAGGAGGTTCACTAGTCCTGCAGATCAATGGTGGAGGCTGGTCAATGCTCCAGCGTGGCACGCAGACATAGAAATGAATCGATGGCAGTGGGAGAAACATCCAATTTATTCTGATGATGACGGTGATTGACAGGTAGAGAAAGAGAATAACTGAAATGTATCCCCAAGCTGGGAGTCACCAATAGCGTGTTTCCAACTTTCTGGTAACAGTTTGTGTTTGTCTCTTTCCTCCTCCGTGCACAAAACCAGCTCCATTATCACAGAGCTATGACTTCAACCCCATCTAACACCTTCTGCATGAACTGGAGCCGTGTGCTAGCCCTTACCCCCCTGCATCAGTGCTAGACCTCTTTGATGCTCTTGTGGCCCCTGTAGCCAGGCTCAACATCTGGTGGAAAGACTGGAATGAAATGCTCAACAAGCACAAACAGCACTGTAATGCTGGTGTGTCCCCAGACCTTTGGACAAGTCATTTGTGTCTTTAGCTCCGTATTAAGACAAATTTTGGATTCATATGTTCTAGAAATATTACCATTTGAGATGAAGTGGTTTTAGTACAAAATGCCAATAGAAAGAAGGAGGTTAAAAATCGAGGGAGAGGGAAACTGGCCTCATTAACTGTTTCTGACTGTCTCTCACTGACAAACAGGTTATTCTGGGGGCTCCTGAAGCCCTGTGGCCCTCAGGCTTGTTGTGACAACACAGGTGCAGGTATTTTATGTGGAGTGCAGCACTTGTGGGATTTTTCTGAGGCTCTGACCGCTGGCTTTGATCTCTGCATCCATCCACCTTCAATCCAGCTCAAGCCTTATCGCTGGCAGTCCAGACACTGCGAGCAGATTTATAGGTAGAGCTCCTTTACTTTCAACATGCAGTGCATTATAGATTATTGCAGATTACAGATCAGATGCTTCAATACCTGTTGTAATTATAATTGAGAGTGGTGGTAGTCAAGCAGTACTTCTTATTGTGAGCAAACTAATCAATCTCTGCACAATAACTATGACAATAAATTGTCATATTTCTACATTTTACACACAATATATTAAGTATGTTTGCAGATAAATATTTTTAGACAATATTACACAACAAGCCCAGATCATTTAAGTTTTTAATACTGAATGTGGCAAATAGTTTTAATCCTTAACATTCTTTTACTCTTCTTTTCAGATGTGATTTTTGTGAGGAAGTATCATGAATTGGCACATATTTATCCCCCTGTTGGTTCATTTTAAAGACTTTCTCTGCATTCATGCTTTTGTTTACTGCTCTCTGAACTGTCACCGTGTTATTATTTTCAGCACAAATGCAGATGTTAGTCTCATTTTGGCATTTAGAAATGTACAAATTTTAGTGATAATCCCTTAAAATATTATCAGAGACTCGTTTAAGGATGAAAAAATATTGTTTCACTGTTTATAAACACAAATAATGCAGGAATATCTATTATACAAAACCACAATACAGTCAGTTTACATGTAAAGTGAAATTTTCATAATTGAAAGCTTTAAAAGTGTTAAACAATAAAATGATTTACAATCTGATATTAATGAGACATTGTGTCTCTGCTTTTCTCCTCATGATATATGAATAGCATTATGTTATGATTAATAAAACATGCTCAGTGTGTTCACTGATGAATAAACTGAGAGGGTTCATTTAAGTTAATCGACAACAGACATTGTTATGGTTATTTTATTCATGAATAAAATGAAGATTTTCAATAGACTGTCTGCTTCAGGTATGTTGTTTTTCATGATGATATCAAAGTGTTTCTTTGTTTTCACGCTGTATCTTTAACAGAAATTGAGCCCTATATTTCACATTCATGACTGTTTATCAATTGCTTAAAACAGACTCGTATTTGTGTAGGAAAGCAATCAGTGGATTTTGAAGGAAAACAGATTAGTGTTTTGTCAAGATGAAGAGTCCACTTAGCCAGTCTTTCTTTAAATCTTCCTGTCATCGAAACAATGGATAATAATTGTAAAGGATTAGACTTAGTTATTTCTGAGGCTAAATCCTCCAGGGAGACTGAATCTTTCTCAGCCAGAAATGAAATTAGCATTCTGTACTAGCAGGACAAACAGTCGTCTAAACACTTGAATCAGTGGATTGGATTATTGGAGACAAAGGACCGAATACACACAGATGATCCCAGGTGATGCATCAAGAACAATAAATATCCCACTTCAGATATTTCTCCCCTGTCCTGGGCTAATTTATTAACAGTATCAATTTTTACTTTAAATGCTGATCATTTCAATTTCTAAAGCCACAATAGTGTCAAAGAATGTAACTTGATGTTTGTACAGTGTGCTGCTATACAGGGACTTGAGTGAATGACTTAAGATGGACATTTTTATGCAGGCGTTCTCATCAGATTCTAATTCAAATTACTGCAAAGCAGAACAAGGCCCAGAAGAGCTGCACAACTAAGAAGTGAGGGAAAGAAATTGTTTACAGTTTCACTACTGAGGAAGGCACAAAAGAAAAAGTAATCTGTGGACCTCCAAGGAGAGGCAGATGAAACACACTTGAAAAAGATCTCCATTATCTGCCTCTATCACAAACTATCTCTCCTTTCCAAAAAGATGCTTAGGGGAGAGTTTGAAGAGGAATGGCGGCTCAGGGGATGAAGGATACAGGCTCCAGAGGACTCAGGGGTTGTTTGAGGATTATGAGGATGTTTATATTCAGAGCTGAAGGCCTGGTGCGAGGAGCTCAGGCCTCTGAAGGCTCCTGGGTCAGCTCTGCATTCCTGTAAAGAATGATGGACAGGCAAAGTTTGCAAATAGAGTGGATGGCGATGTATGGAAACTGAAGCTGGGGGAAAGGAGCAACACATTTTCCCAAAGACTTGTCCTCAGTAATGGTCCAATGAAGATTCAAATACAAGTTGGATTCCTCAGTTTTTAAGATATTTAACCACACAGGATCAGAAATACATTAACAGCCAATGAAGCTTGGAGAGAAAACATCAGATGTGAAGAACACAAGAAGTAAAAACCAACAAAATTGAGCTCAACTTACTTCTAATTAAGAAAATCCAAGTGCAACTCTTAATGGAGGCTGGACAAAATAGGGAAAACACCTGCACAAGACCACAGCTTACACAAATGGGAAATAAAGTTTGAAACAGCATAACACACTGACACACACACAGGAAACCTGCTATATCCAGGTGTTGTTCCTTGTTCATATTGCAAGGCCACCTAGGATTCAGGCCTATATTAACAAAATCAGCTGGACTTGAATCATTTTTAACATCTGAATACAGGCACACACCTGCTTGGTTAAATGGTTAGACATGAAAGACAGGTGCAGAAAAAGTACCGAGGTTTGCTACAGAATACAATACCCATTAACTGAAAAAGGAAAGCGGCCTACTCTTTTAACATAACACACTAATAAGAAAACAAATTAAACTTAAATTAACTTTTGTGTAGGTGTAAATGATCCATACAGAGGTTTCCAGTTGTTCTTGGTTGAGGAGTGACAATCCTAACCCTAAGATCAAAGTATAAACGGTAACAAAGGTGTTCAACTAGATTTAGACACAGGGGCCCTCTACAAACAGACCCCCAACATATTGTCGTTATACAGGACCCACCCTTGTCAGTAATTGTATTTTAGTGGTGTACATTCTCTAAAAAAGTGTTTAAAGACAACTGAGAGTGAACCTGGATTTGGGGCCACTCAGTGTTTGGCTTCTCTGCTTTGCCCCAACAATGCCAATAAGGAGACACTGTATACTGTAAAGAAAGGTGGAGGTTTATGTTGGAGACCAAATCTAATCAATGAGGCCCATCTAGTGGCTGTAAGAGACATTGCAATTTCAAGTGATCTACAACTACTGAACCACTGCTGTTAGGCCTCAAAATATATAAAATCAAGTTGTAAAAACAATGTGTAACAATAAAAAGTGGAGCAAGATATGACTGATACTTTAATATATACTTTAATCTGTAACAATGTATTATATTTTATAAGTTGATCATATGTGAAATCTTTAACTCTGTCATGATTCGGTTCCGCTGCTTCCCGTCCGGCTTTTATTTTGACATTACTTCCTGTTTTCCTTAGTTTTGGTCTGTTTACGTTCTTCATCACTCACATTAGTTTCACCTGCTTCGTTATTATTTGCACCTGTTTTTTTACTTCTATTGTTCTAGACCCCAGCTCTGACTTTCCAGCATTTTCTTCGGTTTTGGTATTTTGTGTTTCTGATCTCGGACTGTTTCCTTGGACTATTCTATTCTGCCTCGCCCACTTGTTACGGACTGCCACGGTGTATGATTATCGGACTTTCCCTTTTGGACATGGACAAAATAGGGAAAACACCTGCACAAGACCACAGCTTACACAAATGGGAAATAAAGTTTGAAACAGCATAACACACTGACACACACACAGGAAACCTGCTATATCCAGGTGTTGTTCCTTGTTCATATTGCAAGGCCACCTAGGATTCAGGCCTATATTAACAAAATCAGCTGGACTTGAATCATTTTTAACATCTGAATACAGGCACACACCTGCTTGGTTAAATGGTTAGACATGAAAGACAGGTGCAGAAAAAGTACAGAGGTTTGCTACAGAATACAATACCCATTAACTGAAAAAGGAAAGCGGCCTACTCTTTTAACATAACACACTAATAAGAAAACAAATTAAACTTAAATTAACTTTTGTGTAGGTGTAAATGATCCATACAGAGGTTTCCAGTTGTTCTTGGTTGAGGAGTGACAATCCTAACCCTAAGATCAAAGTATAAACGGTAACAAAGGTGTTCAACTAGATTTAGACACAGGGGCCCTCTACAAACAGACCCCCAACATATTGTCGTTATACAGGACCCACCCTTGTCAGTAATTGTATTTTAGTGGTGTACATTCTCTAAAAAAGTGTTTAAAGACAACTGAGAGTGAACCTGGATTTGGGGCCACTCAGTGTTTGGCTTCTCTGCTTTGCCCCAACAATGCCAATAAGGAGACACTGTATACTGTAAAGAAAGGTGGAGGTTTATGTTGGAGACAAAATCTAATCAATGAGGCCCATCTAGTGGCTGTAAGAGACATTGCAATTTCAAGTGATCTACAACTACTGAACCACTGCTGTTAGGCCTCAAAATATATAAAATCAAGTTGTAAAAACAATGTGTAACAATAAAAAGTGGAGCAAGATATGACTGATACTTTAATATGTAACAATGTATTATATTTTATAAGTTGATCATATGTGAAATCTTTAACTCTGTCATGATTCGGTTCCGCTGCTTCCCGTCCGGCTTTTATTTTGACATTACTTCCTGTTTTCCTTAGTTTTGGTCTGTTTACGTTCTTCATCACTCACATTAGTTTCACCTGCTTCGTTATTATTTGCACCTGTTTTTTTACTTCTATTGTTCTAGACCCCAGCTCTGACTTTCCAGCATTTTCTTCGGTTTTGGTATTTTGTGTTTCTGATCTCGGACTGTTTCCTTGGACTATTCTATTCTGCCTCGCCCACTTGTTACGGACTGCCACGGTGTATGATTATCGGACTTTCCCTTTTGGGAACTTTGGATTCCCCTGGATGTATGTGTTTGCTGGCTCTGACCTGGGACTGATGCCGACCATGAGTTTTGTGTTTCACCTTGTCTTGTATGGTTTTGTTTAGTTTTAGTTCTCTTATTAAAGAGACGGTTTTGTTCATCACTTCCTTGTCTGGCCTTTTAATGAGTTCACCAAACACTTTTCGGCAGCATTACGCGCCGTTTCTGACAAACTCAAAAGTAACTAATGAAGTAAAAAGTAGAACATTTCTCTTGAAAATAGAGAGAAATGTTAGACTTTTATGCTTCATTTTATTTTGTCGCTTTTATTATGAAAGGCCAAACAGAAAGGAAAGTCTTCTCACTCTTAAAAAGTTTTTATGAGATCAGCTGCTGTCACTGGCTCCACCTCTTCTCCTCCACCCCCTGTAGTAGCTATAAAAGTGTGTGTGACACACACTGATGGGACTTCACTCACAGAGATCTCATTATAGGTGCACTGTGAGAAACTACAAGTTTGAACTTCTCCAAAAAGGACAATCAAAACTGCACAATGGTGAGTGTTCAGTCCTTATTCTTTGACTACTATCCAAGAAACTAAATATGCAGAATGTTTTGTGCTCCTGGGGAATAATCACAACTTTCCTCTTGTATGTTCATATTTTCTTTTCAAAGTTTGTTACAAGCCAGAGCTTTTGTTTATTGTATCTACCCTAGTGGCCCCAGACTGCTTCTGGAAAAACATTTTGGCATTGCTACAGCTCGTAAAACTCAGCTGTGGAAAGCATTTATGTGTTTAAACTAGTGAAAAACATCAAGCTAGTCAGTGGAAACATGCATGCGGCTCCCGCTCCAGTAGAGGTTAACCGATTCCGTATGTGCGTCAGGAGGGCGTGCTTGTTTGCCTGGCTGCTGGGGAGCGCTGATGTGGCTTCCTGTGGCTACTGGCGTACTTTAAATTTGTTTTTCAGCTGCTCACCACTTTGCTGTAAGGCATGAATTCCTGTAATGTTAGACCTGATGCTGCTACTTATGGGTCTTCTGAACCCCAGTCACCTTTTAAATACAAAAATAAAAATCTGCAGACTACACCAACCAACACATTTCTGATACTAAACGGGAGGTCAGGCACATGACAATAAGCCTTTGTAGTTGTGGATCAACATTTTTTACAAGAGCTCTAGAGTCTTAAGTTCAGGACACTGACCTGTCCCTTGTGACTTTGCTCCTTTGTAACATGGGAGCAAACACTGAGTGTGCTGTGTCTTTTACAGGCCATTTTGAAAGCAAACAGAAGTGAGTAAAACAGCTTGAGGAAGTTGTAACTGTAAGAAACGTCTGCTTCCCTGCCTGTGTGATGGATTTATTTTATTGACCTTAAATCTTGGGTGTATTATAAGGGTGTGTCCAATCAGTCCTAAAGTTTAGTGCCCTCATGTTGAGGTCCTGACCTCAAGCATGACGCAGTTTCATTACAGCCAAGGTACAGGAAGCAGATATTGACTCGCCCTTTAGCCCGTTTTTCCCGGAAGTGTCAATTTCACAGGCTGCGTGCCTTGTAAACATGAAGTAATGTGGCATGTTGCAACATCAGCAGGCAAACATATCACCACACCCCCAGCCAACAAATGTCGAAACTATCTGGCTCACAAAGTAGCAAGAAACTCAGAACTTCATGTTGGTTTTAAGTTTCATGCTAGTTTTGTTATATTGTGAACTGTTTTTCAAGAATAGTTTCATGTTGCATTTCGCAGACACAACCTGTAGTTTGTCTGTGCACAGTACAAGCTGCAGTCTGGGAGTCCAAACATTAGTGGGTTAGAGCTGCTGGGGTGTGTGCGCGCCATACAAATGACACTTCACCCAAAATAGCTGTCTGCTGAGCTGGCTGCCGTGGCCATACTTGGCAACTCCCACATCACTGTGACGCCTTTATCGAAAGCTTTTTTGAAGGAAAAAGGGAGGTTAAGGGATCAAAATTCAGAACAAGCAAAAGTCTCCACTGAAAAATCCCCTACTCAGGCTTAAAGCTGTAGTTTCTGCTGATTTATATCTGATTATAGGCTACAGTTAACCTGTCAAATCATACCAATATCAACATTGGTACCTCACCTGTTGTGCCTCAAGTCTTTCTATCTTGCCAAAACATACTCCTGACAGATTAGCAGATTCCTTTTTTTAGAGGGCATGAATGGTGCTAAGGCGCCAAAGACGTCACACTGGAAAAACACGAAGAGCTGCCCAATCAAAATATTTTAGGCTCTGCTATAGGTTAAAAAGGTGGTTTCCATCCAGCTACTTTTTCAATGTGCACATCAAAACCCAGAATGTAAATGAAATTTAAAAAGCATCTTGATATACTGTACTAGGGTGAAAAAGTTGGTAGATTGATAAAAGCAAAATGTGATGTGCAACAGAAACGTATTTACCAAAATAAAACATAGGATGCATGAACCATGTGGCTTAAATGTTCACTATTGTCATGTTTGTGTGTCCTCTGCTTCTGAGTGGAGAAAAACTGTTTATTTTCATGAACTAACCGATAATACTCACATAAAATCTGGCTACATTTGCACTTATTGACATCACCAGCATTTCCCAACAACATGACTTTTCCTTTCCAGAACAAGGTCAAAGGCCTTGGCCAGCAATGGTTGGCAGCCTCTTCCTCACTAAGTTACCATAAAATAATTTATTATAGCCTATATAAACATAGGTGGGCTTGGTTTACTCTTGGTTTGTTAGGTATGAGAGAGGTGCCTCAAGGGGAATGTAATATTTTGACAGCAATACTTGATGTTTGTGTTCTCATGTTACCAGTGACAGCTGCTGCAGTGATGAAAACACAAGATGGTGGGGCAAAGCCTTTACAGATCACCAAAAATGTATTTGAGTCCTGAATTTTTAGTACTAGCTGATGTTGCCATAACCCTGGACTGTGAGAAAAATGTTAGTGATCCTCTATCATGTGAAGTTCTATCTCATTTGCATTTCCTCAAAGGCTAGATAATCGAAGAGGACAGACAGCATTGCATCCTGAATTCCCTCAGGGAAAATTTTCATTCTTAATGATAAGACAAAACTTGTTTCAGTCCACAGCGTACATACACCCATTGCCTCCGTCCTCCACCACCCATCTCATTTATGAGGAACTCGAAATACCTGAGCAGGGTGTGGGAGCACTTTGGCCGCTACAGACATTCTGACAAGACTGTGACAATCACAGACTACTTACTTCTCATATCCCACTTGTAGGCATGTTTGAAATGGTCAGTGGTCTGCACAGTTTGCCAGTGTGGCCTGGACATTTTATTAAACACAAACCAGACTGAAATGCAAATGATGTGAA